TGAACGTAACCAGAGAATTTAGAGAAGTTTGATGGATTGATTTACAGCAGCCTTCCGCTTTCTGCTTGTTTAACAGTCGTGTACCGCTTTCCGTGGTTTCCCTGACTAAACGACCTTGGAATAAACTTTTGCCTGACTCATACGTATGAACAAATTGGTTGGCGGTATTGTTGGGAATGTCAGGCGAACTGTGACAGATGAAATCGCGTGCGATTATTTCGATCTGACAGCCCATAATGTCGTGCATATCACTTATTAATTGGAATGTTATTATTTTTATCAATTAATGTTATTATCAATATTAATCCAAAGATAATTTCGAACTTGTTTCACTCTTTCAACAGAAGATCGTAATGACGCATGCTAAGGAGGCCTGAAGAAGTTTCTTCAGCCGTGAAGAAAACTGCATTCGGGTGGTACACAACTATTCTGTGCCCAAGAAATCGATTTAGTCCAGTCCATGTGGCAAAAACCTCCTTTAAACTTTGAGGACTTTCAATTCCCAGTGATGCGTCCAGCGGAATCAGTTTAGATTACGCCAGCTTAGATGCAGTTAACAACCAGATAATTGATATCCCGCTTTACTGTAGAAATTTTGAAAAATGGCAATTCTTCGATCTCTTCCAATAGCTATATGGCAAAAGTTTGCAATGACCATTTTGGAAATCAGCTGACAAACGCAAAACAATGTGTACAAACCTCCTCCCATCATCAGTCGAAAGATACGGATGAACCTCACCTGTCATTAGTGAGGAGCTGATTCAGGGAGGAGAGGTGTTGCTCCTCACTGGAAGAACGACGTCCAGAAAATTGGTGAAAGGTGAGGAGATCTGGTCAGTTTCAACTCAGGTCTCCTTCTGGCAGTGAAGCCAAACAACGTTGATGAGCTGAGAGAAACTGTGCAGCTGGTTCATCCTTATTTGGCTGCATCAGTAGTGTGCACCTCACGAAACTCAGAGAGTTTCGAACCCGCGAGATTCCGGCCAGTGGTTGAACATTTAACCTGTCTGACTGGGGGCTAATCACACAGACGTTCAGCCTCTCGTGGTTGCTAGTTTAAATGGTTTAATCGTTCAGCTCAGGCACCCTATCGGTACCTAGCTGTCATTCGAAGGCAAGGAGGCATGAGGGGGGGTATACTGTCAAGTTTATCAAGCCTAGATAGGAGCAGTCGAGATGCTGAGGTTGGATTCGAACGACAGCTCCTTCGGTCCGTAAGCACTGAGCTGCTTCGTGGCTGAATGGTTAAGCGTTCAGCCACTGGCCGAAAGGTCGCAGAGTTTTGTGAGATACGCACTGCTGGTGATTCTCACGAAGGATGGAACAGCTGTACAGTGCTTGTTGGTTCTCCGGCGTAGATTGGTTTGGCTGACGGAACGTAAAGGTCGTAGGAAAGCTTCCACAAAGGTTCTAATCCCGCCTGTCCTAACACGTTATTCTGTTAGAATCTACAGTGTAGTCCACCTGAACCATAACACCAATACTGAGTTTTGTTTACTGTCGACCAGAGAACCTCGACTACTGAGACTGAATCTATATGGCCTTCTGATGCTTGAGTCCTCCCTTCGGTCTTCCAAAACAGGAAACAGACTCATAAATATTATTGTTTATCGCCAGTGAACCAGGGCATTCCGATACATTCTTATTCGGTTTGCCCTACCAGGAACGAACAAAACAAATAAACTAAGTCGTTAAAACGTTGATTGGTTAGAAGAACGTGGTTGGAAATATTGTCACGATCTCCGCTCAAATGTATCCATACGGATCCTTCAAGCAAACATGCAGTGTGACTGTGACTCATTCGAAAGGATGCAGAGTGCACATGAGCAGAGTCAACGTGAGAAAGCCCGTCTAGTGATTTCATGACTTATCGACGAGGACTACAAATGACTATGGGGCTATGAGGAAGATTGAAAATTTGAATGTGAATTTAAACTGTTCTCACGAATTAAGCATAGGGAGAGTATGATGGTAAACAGCTAATAATTAATAATAATAATGAATAATAATAATCGTTCATCTGTAACACTACTTCAGTGCCTAGCTGCCATACCACTCAAAGGAAGTACGAGTGATATTGCCTGGTTGACCGAGCCTAGACAGGAGCACTCGATATTCATAGTTTGGTTTCGAACCACGGACTTTCCCATTATTCACGGTTCTACCCACTGAGCCGTCTCGAGCCCTCTGAATCACGTCAGAAATTTGGCAACACAGCCGAGAATTGCTGCCGACTAGTCCCGAAGACATTCGGTGAAAAACCTTTTTCTTAAAAAGATGTCTTGGGAACACATCACCCAAACAGTCGGCCAATGTTAGGAATTTCGAAAACAAACTCACGAGGTCCAGTCCAGCCTCATATTAACGTAAACCAGTGGGCCACCACATCTCGTAGTGTCACTATGCATCGAGTTTCCAATTACCAAGGTCAGCGATGTAGTCAAATGTTGAATTCAGACCAGGAATGTTCGAGATGAATCTGAAACCCTAAACTACATTTTTCAAAATATATTTTTTGGCATAATTTTTTTAACCCCGCAAATGTCTACCGGGATTGGGTTCGAACCACGCAGACTCCGTCACTAAGTTCGCGCCTTAACCACTGAGCTATCTCAACCGTCCACGAAGACAGGGAGCAAGATTGAAACATCGCCTGATCACAAGATCTAAGTCAAAAAGCTGTTTGACAACAAAATATGTCGCGAACTGTGGATCTCTTCTAAACAGCCTCATACGAACAGATGGAAGCTTATTCCAATAACGTCGACTTGCATGAGCTCAACTAGGAATTTGCCTGACTTCCAAACCGTGCTCATTGCCGCTAGTGATCGAAAATATCATGTACGATGCACAAGACGTTCCGTCACCAAAACTCTCAAAAATTAAGTGATCAAGAATCCAGTTCGATGCTTCAGAGGTGCATAGATATTGTCGACGAAAACGCCACAAAATTGCCTAATCGGAGTCTTCCCCTTGAAGGATGTCAACACCATTTTAGAAATGTTAATGCCTTGTGGTAGACCTTTGAAGGATGAATGTCTTCAGATGCAGCGGAATTCCAACTATGATTCTAGTGGAATACCATCAGTAAGCATTTCGACGCTTGTTTGAACTCCACCCCTGGTAAGTTATGTTACGATGTGTCAGCAGTGTTGTCACATTCTCTGTCTGCTAGCTAAAACTTCTGTGTCTCAAATCCGGACTTTTTTCACGTTAAATGATAGTTGGTGAAAGCAATTTAGCTGCGCGATGGTCCCAAACAAGGTTTGCTCACCCGAACTATCTCCGTCAGTCTTGCTCCATACTGCTAACAGAGTCTCTGCTCCTGTGTATAGGACACTGCGTGAAATCTGCCCGATGGTGGACCATCCACCTTCAGAGACAAAATACTCTGTTGGTATCGAGTTTTATTGATTCCAGGCATCAACCTGCACCTTCTGTCCAAGTGATGGTCCCACTGATGCACTAACTTAGGAGGTCAGGAATTAAAACCTACAGAAAATATAGACAGCATGTCTCCGGATCATTTGGAACGGTGTAGCGAGAATGAAGTAACTGCGGGAAGATGCCCATCCTCCACGGCTCCTCATAAACCCGATACTTCTGATTTGATATAATCTGGCTTCGGGCCATCAGGAACATTGTCCCGAAAAAGTATACTCACTTTTATCAAATGAATCGGAAACACTGAATACTCTTTTATTCTGTTAACATATTCAGGCAGATGGTAATCTATAGATGGTAAGCCTGTTTCCGACTGTTATATTCACCTCAGGTGCGGATGTATGGCCAAATTCGTCGGAATAACCTCGGAATGCCAGTGCGCATTGAAACATCTTGATCATACTTCGCATCTCCACTTAACCACCAGTGAGACAGCCACGGGACAGCCACGCTCGATGTCACAAATCACGTTGCCTGCTGACGTATCCTGTATCGATCCTTGTGGCGGTGGTGGTGGTCACGACCTAACCAGTGAAGAAATTGTAACAGTGTATCACATCCTGTGAGAAGTCACTGAAAACAATTTGTTCGGTTATTGTAGTCCCCTCCGAAAAGCATGTAACAGCTGTTCACTTCGCGCATCACACGCATGTAGCGGTTACATTTTCGGTGTTGTAAACCAAACCGCGAATATTTTTGTAACCTGGCGAGGTTACGAAATTGGTCATTTCGCGTTGTTTTTGCCCGGCTATTTGGAAAGCGCCCACGACCCGGATGATAAATGAATCCCACCTATTTGTGTGTGCGCGCGCGCACGCGTACACAGTTTTCTCGTACGCGCACTACTGGCGTCTATTTCACGCCTTCTACGATAAGCCAATCGATTAGACCAGCTGAGGTGGGAACAATGTTGACGAGAGGCTCCCCAGAGCGTGTGAAATGCATTAGATAATTGGGGAGTGGAAACAGTGTGTGGTATTTTCTCCGTTTTAACTGTGCTCACATGTTTAGAAAACAAAACTTGCCACCCGAGAGGCGGTGAGGTTAAAAGTGGCCCATTTATAGGACCAAAGTTGAAAAAATCCCAACAGAATATCGTGCGGCCGTCAATCATCCATAAGGTGGTTTTTATGCGGTTCATTTCATGCGACCATTCACCTCCCTGAGGTTTCCTTCTGTCCTCAACCCTTAACTAATCCACCAAACAGTTACGCGGAACTTTTACGAACGAATCAATCAACTGGAGCAATCTTCTGAGTTAGTTTTTCCGAAGAGGTGGACCTCCTAGTGACGAGTCCAAAACAGGGAAACTACTCTGATCTGCGCCCCTTAGAAGAGTCCAAACTCCCTTCCTCCCAAGGAGCATGAGGTTACCGTATTCGATCTCTCGTAAGAGTTGACCTTTTGTTAAGAGTAGCTCTTGCAGGATCACCACATTCATTGTCACTAATTGACAGGCTAGATATGTTGTGTCGACGCCATGAAACCCGAAGCTTGAATTGTTCAGAGTATTGTTGTGGTTGACTGGCATCTCTCTCCGGTTCGGCCTGCCTTATCGAAACATGGCGAACAATGCCATGTACGGTTTTTCCTGGATCGAGCATCAATCCTCCCGGGGGTCTTGTACCCGGTGTTGTTACTTGGTTTCACTGGTTCACTCGTTCACAAGAGGATTCAATGAAGGTCTTTGTGATTTTAACATAGTTATGTGAGCAGTGGCTCATTGGTTAGATCGCGAAATTACTGACCGGAAGGTCCGTGGTTCGAACCCGACTTCTGTCTCTCGACTCCCCCTGTCTAGGCTTGGGCAACCTGGCAGTATCCCAGCCCTCGTGCTTCCTTCTAATGTCATGGCAGTTAGGCACCGAAAGGGTGCTACAGCTGAACGATTTTTTAGATCGTGGTAACATGACCGGAGGATGAACAGCATTAATGTCACAATTTGCTGCACTTTGAATGAATAAAGTTTTGGTCCGCCACATCGCTGTTAACGTTCTTACCGTTCTTGCGCTGTTATTCCGCACTATGCTACTACTGTATCAAACTAATAGAAAAGTACTCTGCAGTTAGGCCCGAAAGGGTGCTACAGCTGAACGATTTTTTAGATCGTGGTAACATGACCGGAGGATGAACAGCATTAATGTCACAATTTGCTGCACTTTGAATGAATAAAGTTTTGGTCCGCCACATCGCTGTTAACGTTCTTACCGTTCTTGCGCTGTTATTCCGCACTATGCTACTACTGTATCAAACTAATAGAAAAGTACTCTTTTGACCGGAACGACCCAGTCGCTTTTTGTTTGTCATTTGGGTTAACTTAAGGCAGGTGGGCGCCTAGATTTCTCTGCAGTTAACCGTGTACTGATAGGTATACAGCAAATCGATAAGTTCTGTCTTTAAATCTGTGTGGATGAGAAACCTTGCTACCCAACTAAACTGAATGCAGCTTTGTCAGTGGTACTAAAAACGGTACATATTAGCAACCAAGGCACTGTGATGTCCACGCACTCTTGACAGATGTGACACAGTCACTTAGACATGGTAGGAACCTATAAGAATCCAACACTGTCGGTCTCCACACATTTTCCAACTCTAGCGGTATCCTCAGTAAGGTAGCTTTTCAACTTGAATGAGTGAATGTTGACTGTCTGGTTGTTCGCCATCAGTGTATTAAAAGGCTGACGTTGTAGAACTGGATTTTTTTTACTGTCTGAGCGACAAACATCGGGATGATCATATGCAAGAGATTCCTTCCAGAAATAGAACCAAAAACCGTCGTCGTACGACAAGGTGTCAAATCAAATTTATCGGATCAGGGTACATTGTGTGATCTCGATGGATTCCTGACGGACAGATGTTTATACGATTGATCACATCAGTTCATCAGCATTTCCTCCCAAGACAGAGCACTACCACCACCCCCGGCCTCTGTTGGGGGGGGGGCACGCTAGAATACAGTGGTTGTGGTCGATCCAAAACAGTATAGTCACCGTCAAGGATATTTTGTCTTCAGAATGAGTAAGCTTCCGGTCAAACAATCTGCGGTATTGTTTCGTAAGCCGGTCTAAGCTCAGCATGCGACCCGAATCGTTGCTCATGAGAAACTGTGCTGGCAGTGTTTTTCTGACTTAATGAACTCATTCTTGCGGAGGAAACTACTCACAAGATTGCTGAAAACTCTTCGACAGCCCACGACCGGTTTCACCCTTCTGCTCTGGGCTCATCAGGTAGGCGCAGTCCCCGAGTTTCCGTCAACGTTATGATCTACTTGAACCGAAATTGGACTGTTTTCGAGAAATACGCTCATTTGCAAATCAATCTGGTTCTCACGAGAGACTCAACTGAATCTTTCGTTTATGATATTCTGCAACTGAATGTGCTGCACATAGGCTGCCTCATGATTCAGTTGGCACTATATTCGAGACATCGCAGTATATTTTCATGAAGTATTCAGTTGAGTCTCCCGTTAAAACCAAATTCATTTGCAAATGAGTGTATTTCTCGAGAACTCATTCTTGCTTATGTGGTGCGAGTACCGGAGATATCTGTGGATATTTCTATCCGCCTATTGATAATATCTGGCATTCGACCAGCAGACAGGCGCTGCAAGAGACTGATAGGTCTGTTTGATATCTGGGTCCACGAGCTTCGTAATGACGAAGCTAAGAGCGGCAACGGATAGGCGTATGATCGGAGTCCACTTGGGTATTCTAGAGGGAGCAGCGTCCCCGACACGGATGACACTTTGGTCTATTTGGATTCATGGTTGTTCATGAGCTGGCATCATATGCTCAAACGATGTTCGCTGTCCGGAAGTTACTGCGAAGGAACAATCCATCTTAAGCACACAGCTGCACCCCCGTTGTCCCTGGGTTTTGTGTCTAACCTAAGACGACCGCCCACTTGAGCCTCAGCAGCGCTATGCTTGTCAATATACGAGTTCACGCCCTTCACACCAATCCGTATCAGCAGATACAATGAATAGGGATCGATGGACCTCTCTTCCCCAAAATTCTTTCATAAACAAAATGGACCACATGGAGGAGACTAATGACGAGTATCCAGTCTAGTAGAGGTGCTTCCTCCCGACGGCTCAACCCAGTACCCAACCCGTCATGTCCAGCCACAGCGGTCTGCGCATCACCAAGGGACGAAGCCGGAAGCGCAGAAAGACGGGAGAACGAATTCATTTACGGTGCTTGCATCCTGAGCTTTTAATTCTGATAGACCACTTACACCAATATAGAAAAAACCAATCAGTTGGAAAACGCTTGGAACCGATTGGGTAGCTATCGTTTTCGGGAAAATTTGGTAACAATCGCTAGATTTATTGCTTCCAAGGCTGTCCTCACATCATGTTTAGCGTGTAGGTGGTGTCCACCTCGGGTACATTACTCTTTCTGGACTGTATAACACATAAGATTGGTGGGAAACCAAAAACTGCTATCTACCAGAAACCAAAAGACACAGAAACCGTCTTAAGCTACTCATCAGCACACCCAAAGTCAGTGTACGCTAGTAATGTCCCATCGATGTTTCGTCGATTTAGAGCACTGTGCACAGAAGAGATCGACCGGACGGCAGCTCACATCGAGATTGACAACAGACTTCAAGAAATAGGATACCCAGTGAGTTTGATTAAGCGTCAACTAAGAAGGATATTGGCTCCAGTACCTAGACCCAGTAAGGAATGGATTGGCACAGCAGTCATTCCATATAGAGCAGGAACATAGGAGGTTATTCGAAGACTGTTGAACTTAGCCAACATTCGAGTAGCTTTTCAGAGGGGAAAAACGCTACGCTCAGTTTTGGTGCAATTGGAAAATCCCTTACCACTTGAAAGGGCTAGGGACTGCTTGTATAAAATTTACTGCAACGATTGCGCTAAGGTTTATATAGGACAAACTGCCAGGGAATTGCACACAAGAATTGGTTAGCATAAAAGAAGGATAAACAAACTACCAAGAAATACAGAAGAAAACCAAACGCTAGTCAAAGACTCAGCGTTGACGGCACATGCCTTAGACACGGGATGTAGAATAGATCTGGAGAATGTGGAAGTTTTAAGACGGGGACTTCGATATGCACCACAGCGGCTGATGGCCGAGGCGGTGGAAAGTACTAAGCATCACAGTGTGAATGGAATCAAGGGTGTGGATCTTGCGAGCGTTTGGAAAGTGGTGTTAGATAAGCGGAGTTGACACGTGACTGTATGGTTGTCAATCCACGTAGAATCAGTAGCAAAAACTGGGGGTTGGGGGGTGGAAATCCCAACCCGACCAAAGGTCATAGCATCCCTCTTACACAACCATCGTAGCACTAGCTCATCCACACAGACGGACCGAAGGTTCAAACGACGTTCAAGAGGGACCATCAAATGAACCGAACTAGACCCTAGGTTGGACCCAAACATACGTAGGTTGCCCCATCGACCCAACACTTGTTCACACACCCTAGCACACAAAAATCCCTCGGCCGACACCCAGCATAGATTTGGCTTGATTTAGCTGATTAGCTCACCCTCCGCCTTAAATCTCGACCAACCTCAAAACCTAGCTTTTGTGTCAAAAGCGAAACGTTGCCCGACAAAAAATCTACTGATTGTCACCAAACTTTTTCGAAAACGAGTGTTCACACCCTAGCACACAAAAATCCCTCGGCCAACACCCAGCATAGATTTGGCTTGATTTAGCTGATTAGCTCACCCTCCGCCTTAAATCTCGACCAACCTCAAAACCTAGCTTTTGCGTCAAAAGCGAAACGTTGCCCGGCAAAAAATCTACTGAGTGTCACCAAAATCTTTCGAAAACGAGTGTTCGTTTTAATTCGTTGGGAACAACTGGAAGAACTCAAAGAGCCGGCAGTCCTGACCAATTATCAGAAGAGATCAGCACAATTGTCTGCCAAGATTGCTAAAATGCCATTTGAGTTGTCCAACACTCCTCAGTCTACAAGTGACCATCATCTAGCTTTCTAGTTTGAAGTGATTTGTGTTCCCTCCTAACAAAGCTGCGAAATGTGATCTTTATACCAAAAGCTGGTAACGATAACTCCACACCATGTACTTTCCAAAGGATTCTGTTATTATTCTACAGGCTTCATTTTCCACATCATTCTCAGTCTGTTTAATAGCAGATTCACAGATGGATTCATTCGCCTTCCATAGTTTTCAGCTCTTACCCTTATCTTTATTCTGTCTCGCCAGTGATGTGATTATCAGATCATCAATGTATTTGGACCAGTTCACGCACGCTTCCTTGGTATGCACAAAATGATTAGTGGTGATGTGCTCTCAACTGCCTAATAAGGCCTAATAAAACAGCAGAGGTCCCAGATTGTTGGTGAAACACAGCGGTCCCCAGGAGAACTCCTCCTAAAGCTGGTTTCTTTGAGGAGGAACCGTGCCACGACTGACACATTCCATTTTTTGTAATCCATCAAGGAGAACTGACAATCGAGGGGCGAGATTACTCAGTGATGAGAGCGCGAATCTACCGAACGGAAGGTCCGTGGTTTGAACCAGACCTCTGTCTCTCAACTTCCCTGGCTAGGCTTGGGCAACTTGGCAGTATCCCATCCCTAGTACTTCCTTCTGCAAGCATGACAGATAGGCACCGAAAGGGTGCTACATCTGACATAAATGACAATCGATTAAGACCAACCGGATGAAGGGACGCAGGAGCACTTGCTGTGCAGGAAGGAAGACCAAAACGAAAACGTGCATTACCATCCTACCTTTCAGCAAACCAGTCCAAGCAATCTGTAATAATGAATTGTCGAAACCAAACGCACTGAACATAGCAGCACCTGTACTACGACGCTTTTCTTTAAATTATTAAACACAACGAATTAATGAGCAGTCTGTCGAAAGCCCGTTAGATCCTGCCGCACGACACTCCGATACTTAATGCATATGAAGATCAAACTGGACGTTGTTCCTGTTAGATCAGAATCATTGGTGGAAATTGGAATTTGCTTTCCGGGCCAGAGAAGACTTGAATTTTTGGACGATCAAGTTACCATAACTGGTCGAGAGTAGCTAGGTTAAAGTAGAGCATACTGTTGACTGCGAATCGGGAATCGCGCATAAGTACGAGCCCCAAGAGCGCAACCCGTCACGGGCTGTCAATTTCCCATCAAAGCTGTGAATGGTATGTTGCTTCAATTATCCTTCTGAAATACAAGGTCATTAACAGTCCGACTCACATTTTCGACGGCTAGCCGTACGTGAAGGAGAAACTTTTTAGAAAGTAAGGCTACCTGTTTCAGTCTTCTTAATTTCGGGATGCCACCGTTCACAGTCCTACGCAAAGGCAAGCTACCAGTTAGGGGTTTTGACTGCCGTCCTTAAGGCGAAGACAGGCGGCATCGCCTTCTTGACCAATGACTACCAAGCAGATCCACTGTTTCCGAAAAAAGTAAGTGAAAGCTGGAAAACCATCAACGAATTGATCATCATCATCATCATCATCATCATCGTCTTCAACATCATCGACAGTAATACACCAACAAATAAACAAGCCTTCAACAGTAGAAAGCCTTCGACGCATAGCTAGCGCATCGCCATCAGGAAACACATGGGCTGAGATACTGTAAGGTTGCTCGCATCTAGACAAGAATATTCCGGATGTCGGGGCTTGGTTCGAAGCCTTCCGATCGATAAGTTTATGTCTTAGCCAGTGAGCTATCTGGGGCAGGCAGGCAAAACTGACTTGGGGGAATATTGCGGAATAAGCACTTCAAGATATTCGGGATTTTGGGAACAGTATTTTGCCCCAAGTTCACTAGTTCCCGATTTGTAAAATTTACCGAGATAATTTGAACGGGAAGGCAACGGCTGAACTCATTTCTGTTATTTGTGACAAGACTACACATTAGATAGTTATGGATTAGAGGAGACTACTTTCAAATGGAACGAACCTCTTTATATGCTGAGCTCTTGGGTTCTGGAACGCCTTTTTAAAAGTGACGTAAAAACACAAATAAACTCAGTCGTGACGATGTTGGGAGCGAGAACTAATGGAACTATCAGATCCCGAAAACTCAGTGAGACAGACTCATTCTTCCTGGGGTTGGTCAAATGACCTTTTACTTGTGTGATTTTGATCGCCGAGCTAAGCGATCTCAAGTAAACAATGCATTTTCAAATGTCTCGTCTAAGGATTCGCAAGTTTTCCAGTTTTACAAAAAAGAAAACATTCAAAGTCAAAAATATGTATCTGAGGTTCGAAGCAAGCTTTGCAACCAGCTACATGAGTTGTTGCTGTCATGACTGAGAATAGTAACGGCTTTGCACCCGAGTGTGTAGAGCGCGTAAGATCAAACGGTGAAAATCCGAATAAACTGTCGGTTGACAATGTCCTGAACTGGTCTGGGATGTATCGCCGAGGAAACACAGTACCGGCAACTAGGTGAAATTGGTTTCTGTAAAGTAACTGGTGCGAAAGCAGTTCGACCTGTAAGAACCCTGTCGACCGCTGGTAGTGTGAGGATTTCGCCCTGTAAGTGACGCCAATGTATGCTTAAGGGCTGAGGAGTACGCGAAACTCCAGGGATTATCGAACTCGCAGCCTCCCAACTAGTGGTTGAAGGTTTTACAGTTTGGTCACGAGCGGCTGATCAGCAGTGTGATTAACCCGCAAGTAGACAGGATATGGCGCCACTCATCCTTCAACTACGGGATCCCTATCACGTGACTACATGTGTTGACCAGCTCCTCGAGATTTTCAGCATAGATTACTTTCATTTATAGGACGGAAGCCCATGAAAACAGTATTCGCTAGCTTTGTTTGGTGCATCAGTGCTCGGTGACACTGGATTACACCAAAAGGGAAACACTAGGATAGTTTTCTGCATGTCACAGTCCCTTATTTGTCTGCACTGAAAACTTTGGCCAAGGTTTACTTTCCACTTATCCACTAGTCGAAATCATTCCCGGGCTGTCTGCTACTCACCGGCACCTACCGACCAGAGGGATACGACAAGGTTCAGCTATAGCACCCTTTTGGTGCCCAGCTGCCATGCCACATGAAGTAGGCACGAGGGCTTGGATGCTGCCAGGTCGCCCAAGCCTAGACAGGGTAAGTCGAGAGACAGAGGTCGAGTTCGAACCACGGACCTTCTGGTCAATAAATTCGCGCTCTAACCATTTTGGTCACCTCACCCCCGACACGACAACAACAATAACAATCGTTCAGCTGTAGCACCTTTTCGGTGCCTAGCTGCCACGCCACCCGAAGAGAGCTCGAGGTCTGAGACGCTGTCGGGTTGCCAAGCTTATACAGGAGCAGTGGAGAAGCTGAGGTTAGGTTCGAACCACGAACCTTCCCGGCAGTAAGCTGACATTCATACAATTAAAAGAGTTTTCACACATTTGCATTTAGAATGGTACGCAACCAAACCTGCACAGTGCTTAGGTGCCAGTCTGTTCAGTTACGACCAACCTGAGCTGAGCTGGAGATAGATGAGTAGTATTCACATCTCCACAGTGCAAGTCCATTTCACTGCTTTCTGTCACTCAGGTGGATTACTTGCAGCATCCTGAAACAGTACATTTGCAATACGAAGGTCCTGGATGCAAACTGAACAAACAGACAAACAGTAGACGAGGTTTTACAACTTAGATACCTAAACTCGGCCCGTTTCACATAATCGGTTTGCTCTTTGGCAATACTTCTCTACTGAAACTCATTGTTTTACCCTTTTCTATCGATTTTCAGAACCTAGCTTCTGGAACGTGAAATTAGTTAGCCCTTTTTGACGTACAAATCAAGTCACAAAAATTGCCTATCTCATTCGAATCAAATGTCACCAAGCCGAGTTCAAAGCCAGTGCGATTGGTAATAGTTTTTAACTTCTATTAATTACTTCAGTTAGACCTATTGTTTTGTCACTAAAGGTCAGCGGAACTTTGGGGACATTCGTCGAACCATTTATTGGAGAAAGTGTGGTTAAAACCATGCCACAAAGAGATCTTCAAGCATATAGCTTGGTTAGGACTATAGAATTGAATAAAGATGCTATTTGGATATGCGACTCAACCAAACTGATCTGAATTCTTTTCAGATTAATACACTAAAATGGTCCCTACAAAGATACGAATCCCCAACGACACGCCCCACTCTATTGTTAGTGTTCCGTTGTCTTAAAGACGAACCAGCTCGATATAACGATGCTCATCCGATAAACTGTACAGGTTGTGAACAGATTGGAGTTGCTCTGGAAACAAGAATGAATGCCTAGAAAGTCGTGTCAATAGGATAATGACTCTACTCCACGCGAGCGTTGGTCACGCATTCGCTCGGACGTGAGAACATCGCAGTTCCAGTGCTGTGTTGGAGCAATGGACACGCACTGACAACGCACAGCAGCAGACAACGAGTTCGTGGTGTACATAGTGACCGTTTAATGGAACACTGACTCCGATATGTTTTTCCAAGTTAGCACTGCACCATTGCTGAGAAACGCCATTGAGGAATGGGCTAGCGCACACGTGTAACAATGCCATTGTTGGGCGTAGCATCTTCAGCGTAGCGATAGAGTTTCACCTCCATCCAAACGCCTTCAAGGTTACCTCAGTGAGGTATTCCCCGTTGGGAGATGCAAATATTATGACCAATCCTCATGTCTTGAACGGATTCATTTTCTTCTGAGACGCTGAATGTTCTAGAAGTCAAACAGGGTTTTATTCAGGTAACTGAGTTTTTGCACTGAGTGGGTATCAAAGTCGTGAGTTCCTGATATTGCTCTTACCACGAATATGTATGTTGGCCGGCCATAGGCGAACTGGCAACGTAAAGGCAGGTATTTGTGAGAGAAGCTGGATGAACACAGATTTATTGTACTTTGTTTGCACTTAACCTAATTCTGCATCCCTATTACCCACGTTTCGTCCCCACACTATTTCCAGGGTGAACTTTCCGAGGAACCGAGACTGTTGGGTCTTTAACTCGCATTTATAATCAGCTTATACAAAGCACCGACAATCCCTAGGCAACTTTTCCCTGCTTTTCTGGAATCATCAGCATTTCGCACCTTCAAGACAAATCAGATCCGTGGCCTTCAGATTAGAAATTAGAGACCATACATTTCGATCAACAGCGTCATGAACCTACACGTAACACTATTCATTTTTAAAACACTCAGTTCATGTCACGTAATCCAGCATCGACCGGATGGTCGAGTGACAGTGTCTTAGATGATAGACCCACGAGGCACGTGGGACTCTGAAATTCAAGTCGACGATATTGGATATTGCAGTTTTGAGTAATCGCCACCCGACGAAACAAAGCTAGAAGAATGGCGGTTAGAGTTCTCTACAGTTCAACAGCAGATCAGTGAGTTTAAGAACGAACCAGTTGTGTTCTCCTAAGGAAAAAAACAGGGGGAAACAGTTCCTTCTTTAAGACACCAGATTCCATTAGTTCATTATATCAGTACATTTGCAGTCAGCAGTTTGATTGCTACTGTTTAAAGTACCTGTTACATAAAACCACGGTAAGAATGTACAAAGTGCTTGCAACAAGCCTCTGAACGTTCGGTCGCCGATCTTACTCCTGCAGGTCGATATTCGCTCCAGGGATTTGTAGACAGTGTTGCTTTCGGCTCAACAAAACACTGCTAGATCAAAGCTGGATTCCGACCTTGAACAACTTTGTAGCGGGATCCGTATTGGTGCGGATGACCTCTTGATTGACCGAACTAGTTAATCGATATACAATTCAATTAAAAAACACTTGTCTGACAATTTTATCTTCCGCAATTGACACCTAACTCTTACATGTCTGGAAATGTATCTAGAGTGTTTTTTTAAAATATTATTACCGAGGGATTCTGCGACATAATTTCTCTATCGTTATATCAATGTAGACGAAGCCCAATCACATTATCTCATTCGCGAAAGTTTTAAAGTGAAAGGAAATAAAAAATTTCGAGATAGTAAATTAATCCTCTGAAAAACGCGGCATGTTATTCTGCGGTCTGCTGACAGGAAAATTATCGGTGATTTCCTCAGATGGATTTTGATCTCTCACAATCAGAATTACAAAAAGGTATCTTGTAAAAATGCATGCATTTGACCGTTAAATTGGGATTATCCTATGCGAGGTTGAACTGTACTCTAACGTCCACTTTTTGAGGGTGACATCTTTTTTCACTAAAACGTGGTGGACAAATTCGATAAAACTCTGACCATGAGCAGCTGAAAGTCCTTGGTGCACCTTGACTGAAGTTGTGTTGAATCATTTTATATCGCACCCGAATAATATTTGCATGAAAATGCAGAAAAACGCGATTCTTCAGAAATTTTCATTACCAAGAATGGAAGATACTTTGGGAAGAAAGAAAAGTCAGAAGTAAATAAGATGAGTGAAGTTTTTTTCCTACACCAGTGATTTCCAAGGTGGTTCCTCTGAATTGAACACGTAACACAAAAAGTGCTTGTTTCTGGCGGGTTGCAGACCAACATTTTTCATATCCGGCATGAAAAACGTGACACTGAAATGAGACAGTCGAATCTCATCGACTGCTGTGAGGCTGACGGGTCCTAACACCTGACCATTAGGTGTACACAAGTTCGCCCCGGAAACAACCCTAGCTTTTAAGGTGCCCTTCAACTGCGAAAAACGTTGACAAGTGTTTTAAAATGTTGACATATGTGATGCGTTTTAACGGCTGAAAAGTTCATTGAGTTTCTTAATGCGAAAGAAGGATTTCTCTCTGTCATGATGTCAGCATTCTGGCAGTACTATCTGATACAAGTTTGAACATTTCACGCATCTGACTGACACGTCGGAATACATCCAGCCTGTGTTAGCGAACAACGACTTGGATTGGCTAAAATTCCGTTCATCATCAGGATCGTTTCATGAGAATCCACTATTAAACGAAGCACAACTTCGTGCGGACACGAGAATCATCAAGTTGACACATTTGTTTGAGAAGATATCAATAAAGGACTCTCCGTTGGGACAATTCCAATGCTTCAAGGGTCGAGTGGATGCCCAGATTCAAACGACGAACCTTCTACGAGTCCGTCTGAACTTACCTTCCAGACACGGGGCATTTAGGAGCATGAGCTTGCATGTATGAGAGTGGGAGCGAGATGGTCCGGTGACTAGAGCGCGAATTTACTAACCGAAAGGTTCGTGGTTCGAACCCGACCTCTGCCTTTCGACTTCCCTTGGTTAGGCTTGGGCGACCTGGCAATATCCCAGCCCTCGTGATTCCTTCGGGTGGCATGGCAGCTAGACGCCGAAAGGGTGTTACAGCTGAATAATTTATTTTTTACTTTTCTGTGTGAGAGTCAATCAGAATTATATGTTTTCAATCGGACGAACTACACTGAGATAGCCTTAACAGAATGGACGCACGGAACTAGAGATATTGGAAACAAGTGGACTGGAACCAAGTGGACGCTGGAACCAAGAGAGGAAATTCTGCTTCATGACTTGTTCACGAATGCTTTTCTCCCTTAACTAGACTGCGGACGATTTCGGTAGTACCAAAAGCTATACAGAAGTCTGTATCTGGAGGAAACATAATGAGGAGAATGCTTCGGTGGATCCCTTCAAGCCTTCATTGAATCCTGAGAAAAAAAATCGTAGCACCCTTTCGGTGCCCAACTGCCATGCCACCCGAAGGTTGCACGAGGGCTGAGATACTGCCAGTTTGTCCAATCCTAGACAGGGGAAGTCGGGAGGCAAAGGTCGGGTTTGAACCACAGACCTTCCGGTCAGTAAATTCGCGCTCTAACCACTTGGACCCATCTCCCCCCTGAATTCTAAGACCCGGATGAGGCCACGCCAGATGTAGGACAGCAGACAGAGATCGGTATAAATCCCCACTGATAGGGAGTTCTGGAGCCCATCACTGAAATTCTATCAATGTTTCTCACTAGCATTGCTCAGTCACCAGTTAGTCACCACCGAATATCTCTCTCACCCTTGACTGCCCGTGAATGTACACTTACAATACTGAATAAGTACGTTAGAGCGCAAATTTACTGACCGGAAGGTCCACTGTTCGAACCCGATATATGCATCTCAGCATCTCCTGTCTAGGATTGGGTAACCTGGCAGATTTCCAGCCCTTGTTCTTCCTTTCTATTACATGGCAGTGAAGGAGCGTTACAGCTGAACGATTTTCTTTAATCTTTTACAGGTCATTTAGATAAACAACTTGCTTCAAAGTGCAAAAATAGAACTGAGGGTCCAGGATAAACCAGACAGTACGGCGGTAAAGATTGGCCATGTCTTGAAATTCGCAAACTTTCATCTCAGGCCTTTTGAATGGTCAGATAAAACGTCGCAACGTTTTTAGGGGGGTCACGTGTTGGACAGTGGGCTTCTCTCATCAGCTGTTGACTGAATCATAAAAACCGAATCAGTACTGGTCATTCGTTCAACTAGTCATCGATCATTACACTGGGTCTCTTAATTACCAACCAATGAGATTTGGAGTTCTGCTGAGGACTGATCATGCACTGAAGGTCAGATCCCTATAGTCTTAATCAATAGAGTACTTCCATTGGTGGTCACTGAAACTCAATAGAAAAAGCTCGAACTGACTGTGATTTTGGAGATCCGACCGAGCCTTCAACATATGAGAGTGAGCCTGCTTGCTGAGCCTCAAGAAGGCAGAAACCGCCTAATATGTTTTGTGACTTGGTTGTTTTCTCCGAAATTTATTTGCATTAGACTATAGGTGTTTCGTTCGAGAAATTTATACTCGGAATTCAGGAGAGATGAGGTCAGTCTGGATAAATCAACAGTCCAACGTCTATTGAATTGACGCTGAACAAAGTATTTCAAAGAAAGCAAAAACTTCAACCGTCTCCACGAACATAGAGTGCAGGACAATAAATGCAGCCAACTGCCCGAGGAGGACGTAAAAGTGACAACGACGGCAACGGTTTTCCGTCAGAAAAGGTCAGGTTTCCTGGAATAATACTCTCAGTGCGTTTCACAAGATAGTCCCTCTAGAGGGGGACAACTTTGTGATAAGCACTTGGATGTCATTGTCAAAATACATTGCTCAATATCAAGCCCCGGAATCAATAAAGTTACTAACATTGTTACTGACGTCGCATAGGCATCAAGTACACATGTGGCATGGCATAATGCGATTCTAAAGAGACATCTTGACATAAACCGATCTATCTTTGGCAACTATGCCAACCGGCTTCCTACCAAAACCAAAGACACAAAGCAGTTGTTGTTCCAGTCGGAACAGGAACGAGACAAACGAGACGTGCTTATTAGGACTGACAGCAAAAAGAAAAGGTTGAAAGCACCAAAAATACTGCGCGATAAAATTTGGAATTTTCATGAAGTCTTCAGCGCACACAGTCACACAGCCACTGTCTGACCAAGTCACATCCATCCTGACCGAGAGAAAAATTCATATTCAAGATGTACAAGCCCGAACTTGAACAATGTCTGTAGTGAAAGAAACTAAAACAGATTATGAAGACCTGTTTTTTTTAATTTTAAACAATGCGAACAAGAACAGACGTCCGACAAGCACGAGTGAAGGCGCAGCTGTCCTGAAGTATAAGCAGTTCTTTCATTGAGTGAATAGCTGCGCACGTTCAGTGTTCGGAGGCGGGGTGGCTCAAGTGGTTAGAGCGCGAATTTACTGACCGGAAGGTTAGAACCCGACCTCTGCCTCTCGACTTCCCCTGTCTAGGCCTGGACAACCTGGAACTATCTCAGCCTTCATGCTTCCCTCGGATGGCATGGCAGCTAGGCACCAGAAGGGTGTTACAGCTGAACGATTCCTTCTTACGATTCCAAAAAAATCCGGAAAGAAAGGACAATGTCGATGTACTGCGCCGATTTGGAGATTCACTGGATATGAGGATAGCTCTCCTCTGGCTTTCGAGAGAACTCTGTGTTGGTAGATCGTTGCGTGCTGACAAATCGTGAACTGTCAAACGTTTGTAGAAATCAAACTTTAACGCCTTGCATTCGATTGCTGGCATTTTATGCAAATTGGCTTTGCCGAATAGACATCAAGTCCCTCCTTCACTCAGCCATACACAATCGTGTTCCCTCCCAAGAGTATATCCACGAAAATCGCCTCCTCCGAGATAAAAGTACCTTGACTTGACCCCAAGTTTAGTAAAATCATGTGAGAATGAACTACCGCCAAAGAGTTTAACCCAAGAGTGGGACAACGCGGTCATTTGGGTCCATATGCAACTTCTGCGTGCATACCAGACAGTAATAAAAACTGTACTGTTCCGAAAACGTTTGCTAGGCAATGTTCCGCCCTGTCATCAGGCTGTGATAAAGTTATGGGGTTTGCTGACATTCACGGCAGAAGGACTAATCAGTAAGATCTCTTGCTACAGTCAGACTAGATCAGTGTTAGGTGTCAACCAAGGGATTTCGTTTGTTAACATGGGTTAGCAGATGCTAAGACCGATCGGTTCCATCTATCTATCTAGCTATCTATCTATGGCCCAACTGTAACACCCTTCCGCTGCCTAGCTGCCATGCCACCCGAAGGGGGCACGAGGGCTGAGATACTGCCAGGTTGGTTAATCCTAGACAAGGGAAGTCGTGAGACAGAGGTCGGGTTCGAACCACGGACGTTCCGGTCGGTGAATTCGCGCTCTAACCACTTGAGCCATCTCGTCTCCCAGACCGATGGGTTGGAGGATCGAGCCTAGGATCTAATTCTTCCGATACGCTTCGCATGAGGAAACTTCCGGAATGTCGTTCACAGTTTTGCTCGTCTATTTGGATAAGCTAGTGCTACAGTAGTTGTGTGGGGAATATATGAACTTTCGTCAGGTTGGGCTTTCTATCCCTTTTGCCAACAACGGACGTTCGGTCGATGAATTCGCGCTCTAACCACTTGAGCCATCTCGTCTCCCAGACCGATGGGTTGGAGGATCGAGCCTAGGATCTAATTCTTCCGATACGCTTCGCATGAGGAAACTTCCGGAATGTCGTTCACAGTTTTGCTCGTCTATTTGGATAAGCTAGTGCTACAGTAGTTGTGTGGGGAATATATGAACTTTCGTCAGGTTGGGCTTTCTATCCCTTTTGCCAACAACTCCATATTTAAGCACACGCCGTCACGTGACAACTTGGCTCTCCACGTACACACCAGCCCTTGATCCTTTTCACGCTAGAGTGGCCGATGACTTCCACCGCCTTGGCCATCAGCTGCTGTGATTTGAATATTAGTTTCCTTCCTAAAAGTTTTACATTTCCCAGATCTCTTCCATGTTCTTCCATCGTCGTGTCTTTGACCAGCGCCTGGTATTCGTCCGCATCCTATGGTGGGTTGTTTATCTTTCTCTTATGTTCACCAGCTCTGGTGTGTGGTCCCCTGACCGGTTGTCCCGTGTAGGATATAGACGTAGTCTCTGATCTCTTCAACGATGAGATCCTTCAAGTGCACAAATGCTAAGCAAGACCTGTCGCCCCTCTGAAACGTTAACAAAACGTTCGTTATGTCCATAGAAACTGAACAGAAGTAGGCTTCATCAATCATCAACCACCGTAATTCCTTTTCGAGAACCTAGCCTATAGTGAACGTTCATTTCGCCCGAACAGACGCACCGCACCGGGTTATCAGTGCTATATGAGACGGGAAGAGCGTTTTGACCAGGGAACAGGACAAAAGTAACGATCACACCTGCCGAGTTCCAGGTACTGTCGGCCGAGAAGTATGCACAAGTGTGGATAATTCTGATACTCATAATTAATCAACCCGTCTGGCAGCAATGAGGCAAAGAAAACAAGCAAAAAACTAGACAAATCCACAGGAGTGGAAAGCTAAGGGAAGCTTGTCTACAAAAAATCACGGAATGCTGAAAGTTTCCAGCACTCCAATTTTGCTGCGGGTATCCGCTTTCCTGTTCCATCAGAGGCAAATGCCATCAAACGCACCTCACAAAACAAAGAATGTTCCAGACGCAAGGTTGCTTTTCTGTGGCTACACCTCCAGTGATATAACATCCCATTTTACCCGCAGTAAGTTAACACAGTGCCTCCTGATTTCATCCTCTTTTAGGCCAAGTGGCACCTACCTAAGGATTCTCGTGAACACAAACCGCTTCTGAGCAAAAGTGCATTGGTACAGCCTCTACTGGACGGTAGTTTATGCGTTCTATACTACACGAATCCCTCACCATATGGACCGCAAAAACGCAGATAACGTGTTATTACACAGTAATACAAAGCCAGTTGAATTGTTCTATTGCGTAGGCAACGAATGCTCTCTAGCGGACTCCGCTGACTGTAAAAACAGCTGAATCCAACAGCAAATGTCAAAATACCGAGCGTAGATGTAAAAAACAAATGTTTGTCAGCCCTAGCTTTCGACATGCAAATACTGCATGTTTTATTATCTTGGACATTTAGATATGCCTGGATGTAGGGGCATAACCACAAAACATGTTTCCAAGGGTAATTTCACGTGACACCCAAAAGGAGGCCAAATTTCGCACGAAATTTACTCACCTGCAGGTAAGGCTCGATGAAAAATCTGCTGTGCGTGTACCACCGATATGGGAAGAAGCAAGCAGTAGGCGGTCAGAAGATGAAGGACCACGGAATACGGGAGAAAATGACGTTGAAATCGGTGCCAGAGTAATCGGAGACTCTGATGTATGGACAATCGTTTTTCCGAGTCTTGGCGCATATAGCGAAGGGTGTTAAACGTAGTGTGAGGATGGAACTGTTCCTGGTTCATCGCACTTCGACCGGACCATGTGTCGTATTGCGGTGCGGGTGGGAGATCGTCAGCACCAGCATTAGATAGGCGATCATCTTCGGGTACGGCGCCCACAGAGTTATAACCGGTTCGTTGTATGAGGCTTTGTGGGGCTCCGGAAGTGTACAAACAGCCATTACCGCCATTTTGTGGTAATGTAATCAGCGGAATAGCAGGTTTCCATGTTGGGTATGGGGTTAACAAATGCAGGTTGTTTGTGTCACGTCCAATCTGTGTGCTTTCGTTAGCATAATTTGAAGTGCGTATAAAACTGGTGAACAGAAAGAGGAAGAAACAAGCGATGGACGTTATCAGCATCGCCAGAGTGAAGTTCAGTCCGGACTGGTCCCAAGTCCCTCCGTATTTCGGATCGAAAGCCTGCGACTTGTAGTGCAGGTACCGCGTCACACCAATGTAGATGAGGAAAAGATGTAACACTGTAATTAATATTCCATACCATGCTCGCCAAAGTTTGTCGCAATTGGTTCCTTTGCTGTAGCTTGCCATTTGAATAGGGCTAGTACTGCCGTATCATCGTACGATTTCCGTGTCATCTACGCTTGTTTTTACCCATTGAGGGTCAGGATGGATTCTGTGTAGGCACATCAGCACTTGGCGTTCTGAACAGCACTATTCAGCAATCAGTTGTCAGGATGCATTCACTCGTGTTTTGTGCATACAATGGTAGTTCAAGAAGCGAGACTCAGACCGTGGCCTTCGGTCGCGCGTTGTGTGATTGGTCGCTACCATGGACCAATCAAAAAGCCATGTAGAGATGCGGCCTATCCTGTGCTCCGGATCAACACACGACGGCGCTCTATGGAGGGACAGGGGTCAACGTGTTCAACAGGCGACAGACATCTGGAACCCGTGTACCCTAGACCTAAGTATTTTATCTTTCTCGCTAGCACTGAGCTAACCAAGTGCTTTTCTGTATTTTATAAATATCCATCTAAAACGTAGTACGTCTACCCACGATCATTGTCTCGATCGATTGCGCTTGAAGCTGAATCTAGAATCAACAGGAATAGCACTCACTCAGTGCAGCTTCACACTTAGTTAATTTAAAACTATTACAGGTCTATGGAAAATACTAATCCTTTTGAAATTCGACAGTTGACAGAGCGACCTGACAAACTACCGTGCTCGCGGGCTTGAAGAACTCTGACATACAGCACATCATCCTAAAAATAGACCACAAGGAATTCCTTCGAAAAGGTCGTGCGATATTCAATGGTACCATAACCATCTGCTTGTTTGCAACTTGTGGTCAAATGTCACTGAGGAGAATCGGACTTGCCGGTCGCAAGCGCACACTAGAAAACGACGAAAAACCAGTGAATCGCCCAGTACCTACAAAAGGCAAGTCTGCAGCGTTTTTCCTAACGAACACCTGTGGACTGCAGTATCATCCTACAAGAACAATGTGTCGATTGCGATCTGACCAATGCTCATTTATGTGTTCTCACTCAAACGCCCCATCAGACACATTCCTCCAAAAACGATAGCTAATCTTCCTGAAGGAAGTGCGGTATGCTGTCGAGACATGAAAGGAATCAATGGACGAAGCCATCTCCTCATTGCTGGCATTCATTCTTTTTTGAGCATGTTCAGACCGACTAACGAATCTCGATAGGTCTGTGTGCTTCAGGTCCAAACACACTCTTTCCGATTTAAAGCAGATTGTGTGACACCACGCAGAGCTTCTTGCGAATTGCCCATATATTTTCTAATGTTCTCTGTTGACTGGCAGACCGTTTCGAATCACTGACAAAATCGGTCAAAGAGAAACCGATCAAAATCAGTTATTAGTAGTAAAGAACGGGGTCGATAAGACCGGTGTAAGTCAGGATAGCCACGAAAACCTGATAGGAACTGTCCACTCAAGACATGTCCACTGTCTTCACCGACGATTTTTAACACATAAACCTGGTTCCGGAGTTCACTCATCTGTTAGATATACGGCAGAACACGTTTCATTGTTAGGTTTGCCTGATAGTTTTGCTCCAAGGCAGTCAGAACACTTGTTCCGAGTTCCATTGTGTAGGTGATCTACGTTGTTACGGTGCTCTCGCTCGATACTGGTGATGAACGCTCAGAAACAGCCTCATTGTATGACAATTGCGGTTGTCTTTCCAAGGCGAGGCATATTCCTAGAAGCGATGGTCTAGAAAAGGTATTTACATTTTAGCTCTTCTCTGTTAGTATAATGACTGACGTACGCTATGTTCAAATTATCTACTACTTAATGGTAGCAGTAGTAGTATTTACGACACTTTTGCATGGTACTTGGCTTTCAGTGTACATCCTTGCCAACGGCTTCCACACTTGACTTAATATGAGGGACACCTTTTGCCTGATGTGCAAGTCCTGATCGCGCTTGCATTTACTGCGCCTTGAAGAGCATCCAGCATTGTTCATCCTTTCTTCGACCGCTGATCTGTTCTTGTATGCTTCCATACGAAACATTCTTACGTAAGTTCTAAACCATGTCTGGTGATGGCACGCCTCCGAACGAAAAGCTTTCCTCATTTTATCCAGTGTTCTCCTGTAGATCTTTTCACGCCCATTTCTCCCATTTATTTTTATTTACTTATTTATCACGTTGTGATCACGCTCATCAAAAAGTAATATTGATAATATTAGCATTAGTTTTCTCACCAGCACTCTATTCATCACTTAGTTTTTGAAAGAAAGGATTGCTTTGGTCCCAACTTCTGTAGAGTTTCCCAAGTGGGACTCCAATTGAAATAGTTCACCGGAAAAATTCCTCTTTCGCCATTTTGTCAAGTCCTCTTCTTCAGAGATGCCACTTCTTCCGTCAGGGCGATTGCCGATTAAGTCAACTCAGGCAGATTTTGTTTGGATTTGCAGGGAAAAACCTGAGAAAAGTGTCCTCATCGACTTGCAATGTACAAGTTGTTGTATCGATCGATGCTGTGCTATCGTTGGACTCCTATCAATCAAGGACCGCTGATCCACCTATTCGGTTTCATATGTAATTATAGATGGGCCTCAATGAACGTTTCCAGCACTGAAACAGAACCAACAGAAGATAGTAGACAGTAAAGAAGGACTACCAAAGAATCTCTTAGACTAGTTGAAGACCTACTCAGCTGATCAGTATCGTCCTTCCAGGTTCGAGCATACGAATATCCCGAAGCAATTAGAATTCTTTGAATGTGAATACATTTCACAGTGTGTCATTCATAATTCACTTCTTGGCCTATATGGATCCTGTCTTCAGAAACCGTACTTTGAAGCTCGGTCTCTTAATATTTTTACATGATCAAATAACTGTAACTGATTATAAACTGCCCAAGGCGGAACAAGGAAGAGTTGAAGTTCTCATGACGTCTTAAGACATCCACAAAAAATTGCCATTTTAATAACCAGGTGTTTCGGCATGCAGTTTGCATCCAGGGATTGTAAGCTCATGCTTGTGGATATGCAGTCACCGAACACGCCACTTACAATCCAGTGAGAGACCCTCGAAGTTGTGAAGCGTTTAACGTATCTTGGAATTTGTATTAGTTCCGATTGTAGTGTGACAGATGAGGTCAATGCACGAATCTGCAAGGCCCGGGTCACGTTTGCTAATTTGACAACTATGGCGTCAAAGTGGTGTACCGCAGAATCTCAAGGGTTATGTGTACCTGGCTACAGTAAGGCTGTTTTGTTGCATGGCTGTGAGACTTGGCCTGTTCGAGCAGTGGAACTGAGACGTCTTCAACATTTGTTGTCTCAGCACCATTGCTCGCGTGGTTTTCTGCCAGCAACTCCGTAACGAGGCAATCAGAAAGCGAGTTTTCGAATGGGTAACGGGGACTTCCATTGAAGAATGTGTCCAGCACCGGAAACTGTGCTTGGTTGGGTCGGGCATTTTACATACCGAATCTTGGTTTACCGAATAGGGTACTGTTTTCCATGTCCAATTCAGGGTAGCGTAAGCAGAGAAGTTTGAAAGAGATTACGAAAAGTCTGGATGCTCTCGGTGTCTACTCGCTCTTCCCGATGTGGACCGCATGATCCACTCTGTGTCCGAATGGATTCACTGCAAGATATGGATGTTGATTGATGTCAGTGGCGTTCTTGTTGTCAGTTTGAATGAATGTCTGGAGGTGTGGGTGTCTCTGAATGATTGTGATAGACTGGCGCTAAGTCCCTTTAAATAAGAGTTTCAAATAAATTATGGCTGTACGGCGCAATGCATTGGTCTCGAAAATGGATGTTGATGATGGCGATGACCAGCGCTCTTTGACCACTGAGATTCGAGACAATAAGAAAGCTGGTTCATCCTCATATAAAGTGATTGTATTTTGTCTGCCTACCCATCCAAGGTGCCTGATAATGGGTTGGTACGGCAACAAAACTGTGGTATCGTTCGCTTGTTGCCGAGGCTCGTCTACCGCAGTCCTAAATGCGTTATTGTTTATCTGTTCAATGAACACAGTTCATGATGTGCACAGAAACTGCGAGGTATGTTTCGTAAATTCACATAGCTAAAGCGCCTTATCGTTGAGGTTGCCGATACGGAGCTTTTAGTAAAGCGTAAATTCGACCTTCCTAATATAACATGAAGGACTTGTGTTTGAAAGTTTACGGTACTATTTACACACGAATAGGTAACATTACACAACAAACCTTAGTCGTCCACTTTCGTGGACTCAACATATGCGTCTGTCACTGATTGGCAAAGGGAAGTGTCAAGAGCCGAAGGCCAGACATCGGCTGCGTAGTATCGGTCGCCCCTTCCAGTCTCACGATGCTACTTGACGGTGTGATCAGACCACAATCACGACAGGACGACTCGGAGCAGACCCAGTAGACAGGGTACGAACACACATGTGTAGGTAGGTCGGTGACACACTACACACGCATGCTAGTGTCAAACGGAAGTGGCCTTTAAGTTGACATGAATGGCGGGTACGGGGGAGCAGAAAGAGCCCATGTACTTTTAAAGAGGGTATTATCATGAAATCAGGTCGGATTCAATACTCATCGTGTACCGTCTTGGTCTAAGCTGAGTTCACTGACTGTTCTCCATGTTTAGGTCGACCTGTTCACTGGGTTTGGCAGTTGGCTTACCAACTCTTCGTCACCATGCGAGAGAACATCATCATTGCACTTCCAAGTGTGGTTGGACTGACACGGACAATGTCTCACCACATGGTGACGAAAAGTTGATAAGCGAATTGCCATGCTCGGTGAACAGACTTACCGCCACCCGATCAAAAGCCAATTACCCACCTACGCCACTTATGTGTAGATGCATGAGGCTGAGTTCATTTTTGGCGTTCTTCAGTGGGTAATGTGCCGTGTACTTTAAAGTAAGACACTACGAAACAGAAATGAAGTCTTTCCCCCATGGATTTTCTCTCCAATGCGGACCTCTCCGAGGAGAATACGCTGTGTACACATGTCCTAAGCATACCTTTAAAGTGGATGTCAAAGGTGACTGATATATTCAGTGAGATTGAATGCGCTTAACAGAAAACACAGTTCAGTTTTATTCCGATTCGGATAACAATTTAAATGTGCTGTGAATTCCTGTTCTTTTCTCCCCCTGTTTCCTACTTCGGGGTGGTGAGATTCCAACATGGAAAGACGTCCATTCTTAACGGCATATCGACTTAGCGCTGCACTGAATG